AAAAAAACATATGCAGAAGGGAAGATAGTAAGTAGCCTGGTCTCCTCATAGGACTCTGATCTGAGCCTAGAGAATATCCAAAAACAATAAGGAAGTGAAGACAAGAAAATGGAGGCAAACATTTGGTAGTTTATCTAGATTTGTATGGTTCTTACGCAAGCTAAAGTACAGAACAATTGCTTTTTGGAACCTATATAAAGTCTGTATGTCTGTGTACTTTGTTTGTCCTGGAAGAAACGATCTGTAAACTCATAGGCCACATCCAGATAAGTGAGCACGTGCCTGTTGCAGAGACTCAAAGCAGTTTGAGACCCTGCAGGAGGCATAGCACAAATGAAAGAATGTTCCCCATGCGCCATATTTGCATCCCAGATTCTAAATTTGATAATGCGAAATCCTGGTATCAAAACACCCTGGAAAAAGTGGCACAGGGCATGCTCCTGGAGCATGACCATAGGCATCCAGAGGCTGGGTCCTCCAAGGAGACACTCTAGCACCTCGCCAGAGCATCTCTATGCTTGCCACATGCCCTTGCTGCTCTAGCATGTTGCATCAGTATGCTGGGAGAAACAGAAATGAGACAAGGCTGGCAGCAGTGGTTTGTCCCTGATAAGTATGGTCATAGAGGTGCAGGGCCTAAGAGGATTCTGGTGGGGTTTGTAGGTGTGGGGTTTCTGGGTGTGTGGAAACCCCCCTGCAGCACACAGCCCCTGGTGCTGACAGCAGCAGCAGCAGCCAGCCAGGCTGTCAGGGTAGTCACAACCTGCTGCAAGCACAGCCCCGCGGTGACATAGCACCGCCTAAGACCTGGGGCCTGCATATGATGAACAGAGCCAGCCTGGCCCACTGGCATGCGCCTTCGAACAGGACCATGATCTCTTCTGCTGCCACCCGGGGCTCCTGGCACTGCACTTGGGAACTGAGCACCATGAGGCTGGGCCAGGTTTCCACATTCCTGGCCTGATGGTGCGTGGCTCCTGCATGCAGTGCCAGGAGCCACAGGTGGTGGCAGGAGCCATTCTGGTTGTGTTCAAAGGCGTGCGCCAGAAGGCCAGGCTGGCTCCATTCACCATGTGCAGTCCCCAGGTCTCAGGCAGCGCCATGTCACTGTGGGGCTGTGCCTGCAGTGGGCCATGAGCACCCCAATGGCCCAGCTGGCTGCTGCTGCCAGCACCAGGGACTCTGCACTGTAGGGGGGTGGGAGGCAGGCACGTGGCAGCCCCCCCCAAACCTCCCACATCCACAACCCCCCCACAAACTCCATATCCTCCCCACAAGCCTCACCCCCCACACACCTCCACGCAGATGCTGACTCCAGCCTCCAGTTCCCCCTGGGTGAAGATCCAAAAGGAGCTGGGCAGGGTCAATTTGCCCCAAGTGGCACAATTTGCCCTATACCAAAGTGCATGTTCAGGCACATGTGCTGAGGCCCAAATCTCTGGCACAAATTTGTGTCGCTGCTATTTGAGCTGCTCTAAGCATGCATGCCTGCATATATGGACATGGCCATAGTGTATGAAAGGTTACAACTTTGAAGGATGGCATGCTTAAGCTATTGGGAAGTCTGAGATCACCCCTTGTCCTGGCAGCCTAAGGGTGCTGGGCCACATAGTAGTATTTCCACAGAAAGGTAATGGGTGGGGGGACGGTGCAGGGAAGAGAGACAGAGACAGCATTTATGTTAAAGGCACACAACATATGCTAGATGCACACAGAATAGAGCCAGTGCCGTGTGCGTCACTCCAACAAAGTTTGTTACTCTTTAACCAGTTGAATATTTTGAGATCCTCAGAGTGAAAATTATACTGGAATATAAACTAGTACTATATTTATTTAGTATTTGTTTAGTTTATATTTTGGAGGATTTTGCAAGAATAATGCATACATGATTCCATTTTCTGGCTCTGATTTCTTTTCAGAAAAAGCCATAGAGCAGCATTAGATGCCACAAACTAATGAGCTATTTCCTGTATAAATTGGGCTTGCTAGTATTTAGCATAGGATGACTTCACAGTAATTTATGGATTGCATGAGAAAACAAATGTTCAAAAGTCTTACTCCTCAAAAGTCACATTTTGATGGACTCAATGCACCATCTCCAAGTGTTGCACCTTCTAGGAAATCCCAGAAGTATAGATTTTTTATGTTATTGAGGATTGCTATCCTGATAGCAATCAGCTTTCTTTCAAGTAAAATAAATAAATAAGAGCACAGTCTGCAAACGTAGAATGATTTGAATCTGACTTTTGCCATCAATCAGCATCATTTTCCCACTGACTGCAACACAATTAAAATCCAATTATCTCAATAATTTAATGGAAATTACTATCGCAAGAATGTATTTTTGCCATAAATGCTTTATGGAGGAACCTGACAGGAAAGAAATGACAATTTTGGGATGAAATATGGCTTTGTAAGGCTGCCATATGTCTGGGAACCCAGAACCTTCCCAAGCCAATGGGAGGGACTCTTAAATTTGGCCCAGCCATCTGATTCTAAAACTGGAACAGGCTTTTAGATCAGGCAACTCATCCCAGAAAACCTGGCTCTGCCACAGAAATACCATGTGGTGCCAGAGGTATCTTTCTGTGCCTTTCTCTGAATCCAGGCAGTAAACACACTGCATGTCTCTGGGATGGCTGCCTCCTAAACTAGAAGCAATGTAGCACCTGCATAGTACTTCAAGCAGGAAAATTAGCACTGCTAAATGACAGCTCTCCCCCATCCTAATTAGCCTGCCCACAGCACTGTTTAGAAGGCAGTACAATTTAGAAGGGTGCCACTGCTAAGTATGCTAAGTTTACCGTATAAATACTGCTTGCATTTAATTTCTTACCTTGCTGATGTAAAATCATTCCAATACACCTTTTCCTCAATTACCACATTATTTCTAAACCACAATAATTACTACCAATTTTATCATACAGAGTCAATTATATTGATTCTTCAGACAGCCTTCACATACCAAGCAGGTTTTATTTCTCTCAAATATGAAAGCCACAGTTGTTAGGGGTCTATCATATACAGGCTATCTGATTTGTAATTTTATAACAACAGGTGTTAACATTCCTGCAGCCTTAAATTTCCTTACACTATTATAGTCTCTGCTTCAAGAACTCAGTGCCAATAAATTAAATTCATTTTGAAGGGCAAGGATTTCCCAGGAAAATGAGTGGAATTTACTTCTCTGGGAATGTACCAGATTGTAAAAGTAATTTGTAGTCGTTACTTTGATTTTGTGCCAAAAGCGGGGGTGATACTTACCTATACTATAATATACACTAAGGAGCAAAACTGATTGATGTATGTAAAGAGTGTGGATGGATTAAAATCTTATAAAAGTTTTGCATGGCAAGGACTAAAACAAAAGAAGGCAGGTCAATTACAGCGAGCCATGAATTCAACATCTGTGTTCAGTCCTTGATTCTTAGTGTCCAGCCAGCTTATGAATTTTTGTTCCTAGGCTCACCTTTTGAAGATGTTGGAAGGATAGTGAAGTCAGAAAGTGAATTCATGGCTCACTATAATTGACCCGACTACTCCTAATCTTTCTTCACACCACAGATGATAATGACCCTCTTCCCTATTAAAGGTCTTGGTCTTCCACTAATGAATCTATATTTTCGCGTCTGCTAGCTATTCCTGGGAATTTCTCTCTTCTCCAATTTAACAGCCTTGCTGCTGTTTTTAGTTTTTGCTGTGCCTGCTTTTTCCTCAGACTTGAAGAAGAATGCACTGCATCTGAAAGCTTGCCTAAGCCTATACTAGCCATGCAGTTGATCCAATTAAAGATATCACCCATAAAATTCTTCCCTCTCACATACCTCCTGGACCATCACAGTTACAACATCATTCAATATCATAAAACTTTTGTAATTTTATCATAACTAGGGAGTACTGTGCGCCAAGGATTAGCCAAAAAGGATTAAGTTTTACTCTCTCCTTTTCTCATTATTTTACAAAAAAAAAAGTCTCATGGCTTAAAAGAATTTCACTATTTATTCAGTTATAATTAGCAAGAAGTTTTGTCTCACCTGAAAGTTACCATGGAGAATTTCTTAGGAATAAAGATCTTCTCTCAAAAATACATGTTAAGTAATTATGGGCATCTTTTATATTAAAATATTCTATTTCGAAATATCACAGCACCATTTCACTTCAATTACTCCTAGTTTATTATTCTTTTATCTTCTACACTGCATCCTGGAATCATATTAACTGAACTACATTTGCTAACCATCTTAATAAAATTCTACAGTGGTGGTTCACTATAGACCACACAGGGAATTAAAAATGGTATGTTGAGCAATGATGATTTGCATTCAATTTAGTATGCCTTAGATTTAAAACACATGAGAAGAATAAAGAATAAAGCCAGATCATATGAAAAAATGCAAATAAGTTAATTAGGTCAGGAAAGTAATGTGAAGATATAGCTATGCTTAAAAGAAACAGCTTCTGATAAAATCAGCTACGCTCATATTATATTGTTATTGCAATTGCACACTTGTAAAGGCTTTTCTTCACATATCAGATTTCACACTTTCTGCTCTTTCTTTTAACTAATGAAATAACGCCTCAGCTTTCTAACTGCGTTACCACGCTAAAGCAGCAGAAATCCACGACTGCTGTTTATCAGGAGTGCAAGAACAAACAATGAGCAACTGATTACGACCACATAGCAGCTTGAAAGCATATTAAAACATATCTGCTCTAAGATCACTTCTTAAAATTCTTAGAACTAAAACAGAATTTAAACAAAAGACTATTGGCATATACAGTCTTACTCACTGCACAATTAGCACCTGAATATATTCCTACTCTTACAGCTACATCTTTTTTACTTTAGCAACTATTCTAGCATCTAATCATCTGACAAGCACACGTTTTATGAAAGGCCAAGAGAAATACTAAAACTTAGAGCAATAAGCTTTACCTTTGACACAATCCACCATAGTGCTTATTCAAATAGCATATTTAAAAAAATGGAAACTCCTTACCCTTTTTCTCAAATTGTAGGTTAAAATGAGGTTCCTGGAGAAGGAGTGTGAAAAAGCTGTATAGAACTCCAGCACTTTCTGTAATGCATCCCTTTTAATCACATGAAGATCACAGTACGTCAAAGCCCTTACATTAGCACAGGACTGGGCAAGGGTAGCTTCTTTCCAAAACACATCACCAAAAACATCTCCTTTGCCTGGAAAAAAACAAAACAAAACAAAACAAAAGTATCATAGAAGCTTATAGGAAAGACTGAAAAAAAGACACGGAAAGTACAATAGGCCTATCATTGACTTGCTTCAAGCCAGTATACCAGTAATTCATCTTCCATCCTCCAACTGTCAACCACCACTGTCAACTGTCAACCAATCATCATTTTTACTAGAACTTCCCATTTTGATCACTCTATAATGCTTCTTATTATGGGAATTCAGAAAAAAAACCCAAAATAATATCACAATCAAAATATCAGGTGGCAATCATCAGGTATCTGTATCATCAGGTGACTTTCTTTAAGACCAAGAGAAGCAAGTTAGGTTCAAGGAAAGCATTGTTCTTTGATGCTTTTCAAAGAGATTTAAAAAAAGGAAAGAGGAAGTGTTATTCTCTTTCTTTGTATAACAGTTGTGTTATTCTCTTTCTTTTTATAATAGACTTGTGATTTTTATGTTACCTATAATTGCTGATTACTAAGTCAATACAGTGATCTTATAAAATACATCAATACTATATACAGTGTGATCCCATAATGAAAAATGGCATTATATATTAATATTGCATTCAAAATGGCCATTACCTATACTGGAGCATGGGTGGGAAAGACCATTCCTGAGATACCATATTATCTCACATACCATGGTCCCCCAAGTAAGACATGCACCTTGTTTTGGGAAAGCAAAATGAAGGAAAATTTCTTTCAGAGTCATGGCTGAATTGTGAGCGCATGGCTGAACTTTTACTGGTCAAGCAAAAGCTGCTTTTAACCCTCTCATAGACACTGCCAAATTGGCAGCAGCTCAGCCAAAAGCTATTGAAAATTCAGCAGAAACTGTAAACAGGTTAGGACTAACTGCGAGGTACATCCTGCCCTTCCCTTTCAGGCTGGGAAAGAAGGACAGCCCCAGGAGCCCTACAGCTCTTTATGCAGCCATTGCATGCTTCACTTCTGGCACAGAAAAATCAGCTTCCCTGCTTAAGACGTGCACTCCAGTCTTGGAGGGCTGATTTTTTGAGAGGGGAGGTATGTGTGGTACGTGAGTAAATAGAGTAGTATAAAACATACAATTTTCCATAATCATGAACAGAGTTTGACACTTATATTTGGGGGTGGAGAGGACACAAGGGAAGCAGTTAGTGCTAGGTGCCACCAAGAGCACAGGTACCAGAACTGCTTAAGTCATCTCGCAATAGGTGGACAGTTGTGGAAAGGACAGTCCAAAGCCCCTCCCCTCAGCCTTGCCCATAGCTACATAAAACCTTAAAAATAAAAATGTAAGTTGCAGCAGCAATTCTTAAGATCAAAAAAATTGTCAAGACCTTTATTTATCTTGCTGGCTTCAGCTGGGCTGTTTAGAGCTCCTCCCCTAAACAGTTGTATTAAAATATTCAGTCAAAAGGGGAGCAAGAGGTCAAGTAAACTTCTACGTCAAAGGAGAACGTCTGTACAATTCTACAAGCTTACCTTCGGCCACATATAATCTTTTCCACTAGGCTATAACTGTTTTCCCCTTAAGTAGAGTGACATTGCCCTTTTGGTATATTATACCTATACTTAACAAGGTATGTTACACTCTTCTGCAAAACCCCCATATAATACTTTTTAAAATAGAAGCTAATTTTGTCCCTGTGGAGGAACAGCAGCTCTTTTTCAAGCATTCACATATATTAAATGTGACCATCCTTGTCACCTTCAGCTTCACTTATTCTTTTTGCCAGGGTTAATATGAATTATATTAATATATGTACCATGGCACCTATTTTACCCTCCTTCCCTACTTCCTATTGTCCTTAAAGAGGACCGTACATATACTCAGAGAATACTCTTAAAATAGACCTTTTGTGCTGCTTGCTATTGTTAATGTAATCAAATTGTTTGCATGATTTTGAATTCTAATAATAAGGAATATAGCAGAAGAACTAAGTACCCTGCACAACAAACACCCCTTTTTAAAAAAAAATAAAATTATGCTCATCACTTATAGATTTTTTGTCTGGTTAAACATATGCTGTTTAGATTGAGTTGGTGATTAAAAATGGCCCCAAGACCCACAAGCTTCCTGGCCGGCACTCACAGGGGGGGCACTGGTGCTCCTGCCTGCACCTCTGCCCGCTAGCTAAACAGGGAACACAGTTGTTCCATGTGTATTCATTTCCAGTGAGCCCATACCAAATCTGCTGCTTACAACTCAAAATATGATTTCCTCAACTGCTAGTCCTGCACTCAATCTGAGCTATGGAAGTCAAGCTGTGTTCTTTCTGCCTCTTCAAAGTTTTTTGAATAACACAAGTAAAAATTATTCACAACCAAGCAGGTATACTGTATCTAGGAGACAAATCTATACATGTACTTACAATACCAAAAAGTACAAGGACACTGATCTAGAGCAGAGGTTCCTAAACTTTTTCTTATTGCATACCCCCTTCCAGATTTACCAGCTGCCCATGTACCCCTACCAGCATACATTTCATATTTTAACCCCTTAAATGCCAAATGTTATTATAACAAAAATTAAATCCATCATTACACAATTTCTCCCACGTACAATCCCTGCCCCTCTGAGATGTCTTGCATACCCCTGATCTAGGGTATCTTTTTTACTTGTTCCTATTATGAGGGTTTAAATATGTAAGAGGCCAAGGACATCTTAAGACTTACTCCAAAGCCCATGTAATCAGTATGAGCCTTTCCATTGACTTCAATGGACTCTGGGTCACATTTTCAAGGTAGGTCAAATAAAACATGTGTACCAAAGTCAATGGTGCTGGCTCAAGCTTTTACATCACTTGAAGCCAGAATCTGATTTGATGACTTTTATTCAAAAGATCAATCTTTTGAGGGTTTAACCCCCTGTGAATGTGTTTAGGCTGGTAATGAGAAGGTTTTTGACCATCAGAGAAGTGAGATTTTGGAATAGCCTCCTCACAGAAGCAACAATAGTGAAAAAAGTCATAACTTCTCTTAAGATGAAGCTTAATTCTGTTTATGAATCTGATTACACTAGGCAGTTGCCTGCAATAGAATGAGAAAGGACTTCATAATTCAGGGGCTCTCTATGTTCCTGAGCCTCAAACAACAAAACATATCCAAGGATTCAGACTTTATTGCTCCTCTGTTTTTTGGTGCAATGAAATGCTCCAAGGTCATTCTGCTACAATACTACAGGAGCTTCCTGATGCTGCTGCATAGAGTCTCAACAGCAGTACAGCGCTAACCATAACCTTGGATATCATGTAGGTTTGTGCGACGCTTTGGTAGCTGATTCGATTTGGAGGACATTCGGCTCGATTTGGGGACTGAATCTCCGAATCCGAATTGAATCGGGAGACCAATTAAAAGCTCTGAAATTGATTTGAAGCATCTGAATCCATTTGAAAAAGCTTGGAAAAGATTCAGCCATTTCAGAGATTTGGCCATAGACAGGCTGCTGACACAGCTGCCTCCAGCTGGTAAGTCTGTTGGGGTTGGGGGGAGAGGGCAGGGAAGGAGCATGGGAATTGGAAGGATTGGGGCTGGGACAAACTGCCCAGCAAGGGCAGGGGAGGGGTGCGTGCTACTCAGGGGGGGATGGGATATGGGTGCAGCAGCACTGGGAGTGGGGGCTCTGCCCTGCTGCCACTTGCCCAGCTGGGGCAGGGGGGGAGATGCGGGGGGGACATCAGCTGGGCAAGCAGTGACAGGGCAGAGCCCCTGCTCCCAGCACTGATGTGGGTGCAGCAGTGCTGGGAGAAGGGGCTATGCCCTGCTGCTGCCCAGAGCAAGCCATACAGACATCGTGCCTCCCTCACACCAGCTGGGCCAGGCTGGGGATGGGGCCAGGTAGGGCAGCCATGGGGGCTTTTCCCGTGGCTGTGCCCACCAGGGCAGAGGCAAGCACAGCTGGAGGAGCTGCAGGAGAATCCCCCATGGGTGCCCTGCCCGGCCCCATCCCCCACCTGGCCCAGCCTCCTGGCACTTTAAAAAAAAAGCCCTGCACTCGCTGGCTGCAGCAGCATTGATTGGGGCCTCTGAGGGCTGGTGACACAGCCCCCCTGCAGAGTGTGAGGCAGTGGGGATCACACCCCCCACCCCCACTTGGCACCCGAGCCACAGCTGCTCCATGGTGCGGGTGTAGCGAGGCCCCCCGGAGCCACAGCTGCTCCATGGTGCGGGTGTAGCGAGGCTCAGCTCAGCAAGGCACCTCATCTGTCTGGGAGGTGGGGTGGCTTCACACATAAGCTGGAGCCTGGCACCACTCAGCCCCAGTGGCTCCAGCTCCCAGGGAGCACGCGGCACCCTGCCAAGCCGCACTGCACCCATGCCATATGGGGCAGCTGCCACACAGGTGCCAGGTGGGGGGGTGATCCCCGCTGCACCCCACTGCCCCACACTGCATGGGGCAGCTCTGCCACGAGTGCCTAGAGGCTCCAATTGCCACTGCTGCAGCCAGTGAGAGCAGGGCTCTTTTTTTTGTTTGTTTGTTTAAGTGCCAGGACTAGGCTACACCTAGATCATCCCCCGATTAGCTGCAGAGCAGCCACAGGGGTTTCTCCTGCGGCTCCCCCCACCCGGGGAGAAGCAGGCACAGCCAGAGGAGCTGCAGGAGAACCAGCAGCCGCCCAGCTGTGCCTGCCTCTCCCCGGGCGATCCGAATCACCAAATCTCTCAGAATTAGCACCGAATCTTCCAAAGCCTATTCAGCTGAATCAATTCATGACAGAGATCTGAATCTACAAATCGAATTGCTGTCCTCTGAATCGGCCGAATCCAAATCAAATACTTCCCTAGTAGCACAGGCCTAATATCATGCTATAGTGATGACCTGCGTCTTTGAAACTTATCAGAATTGCACAAGTGCTAACAAGATACCGTATCCAGACAGAATATCATTCGAGTGTTTCAATACAATACCCCACAAAGAGCCAAGTCCTCATGATTTTGCCTCTCTATCCAAACAAGTAGAGAAATTGTGAGTACAAAATGGGAGATGGCACAGTCTC